ACATACTCAAGTAATCGTCTCTCAGCACAACTAAGGAAAACACTTAAACAAGTAGCCAGAATTACAAGAACAATACCTAACTCATCCATACACCATAAGGCCTTTTACAAAATTAAAAGTATTCACGAAATTCAGATAGAAAGCCAAATCACCAACCTCACAAACCACCTCAATAATATAGATCATGCTGGCACGTCAACTCTCATTCACCTCAAACAAGTACAGATAAAATATTGGGAACCAATGAACATGCTTTCAGATGATACCTCCCACAATCCATACAAGAAAAACTTCACAGCTCAAACACTTAAAATGGCTAACAAACTAGGAATTACTTTTTCAGATTCACAATGGAAAGACATGTTCCAATGGAAAGGAGGACACATTACAATCAAAACTCTGCTAAACGATCCCAAAGCCTACAACAAAGCAGTAATCTCATTAAGAAAACATAATATCATGTTTGCAGACCAACTCATAGATAGGGAATCCAACACCCTATTAAATTGGAAAATGATTCAAGACTCACAAAGCCATGGATGCGGACCAATTCCTCGCTGGTACCAGACAATAAAACAGATCCTGGCAAATGAATTTGGAGTACTAAAAAGAACATGGGCTAGGTATAAGTGGGTATCACAGGATAGACTACTCTTTTCCGCAGAAAAACCAGTAGATCCAAGAAGATGAAGCTGGCAAGTGTATATGAACAGTACTAACAAGGAGCTTTGCTGGACCAGGAGCAAGGGCATAGCAGCAAATAATAGCAAAGAAATAGAATATTACAGAGTTAGCTCAGGTAGACTTCCAGGAACAACAGAGTTCACAAAAATACAACCAGGATATGGAAACATCAGAGAAAGCCATATACTCACATTTACCTGGATCAACAATATTAAAAAGTACAGGAGAAGTAAGAAACCAACCATTCCTATGGAAGTCCATACACTAGAAAACCTGGTCAAAGATAAGATGGAAAAGATATACTTACAGGATATACCCACATCAGAGCTTCAATTCGTAGAAATAGAAGATCATGGCAGGCAGATCATACAAGATAACATATTAGAAGAAGATCTCCGTATCCTGTATGTGAAGAATATCGTCTAAATATGGTCCAAAGTTATAATGGACTGTATCAATTCTATACTGATGGATCACTAGGGCATGCACATGATCAGTCCTTAAGGATGGATGCAGCATGGATACAAACTAAAGGTCCTAATTCTGGGAGAATATTCCAAGCAGCTGTGGAGAATTGGCCTTCATCAACTAGGGTGGAGTTAGTAGCGATTTTTTTAGCAATTCTCTCAGTCCCTAACGGCAACACAGTTGAAATCAAAACAGATAGCTCTTCCTGCATAAACACTTACTTGGCCATAATCAAACCATATCCCAAGGAAACTCTAAAAAAGCAAATGAAAAAACCGAATTGGCAGCTCTGGACAAGACTGGTTGACATCATATCCAAGAAGAATTTACGCCTAAAGCTTACCAAAGTCAAAGCCCATAGCAAAGACCCTTACAACAATCAGGCACCAAAAAGGCCAAGGAAGAACCAGAGGTCCAATGGAGACCCTTATCCACAATAGTACCTATCATAGTATCAGAGTGGAATAAAATTCCTATTGATATCTCAACTAGAGCATTCCTCAAGGATTACAATGAAAGGGAAATCCTCATACAATGGACCTCGCAAAATCGAATTCAACAAAGATGGAAGGAAGAAATCCAAAATCCTGAAAAGTTCAACTGGAAAGGCCTCTGGGACTTCTACAAAGATGAAGGATCCCTCATCACTTCTCTTAAAGTGGCAAGAAGTAGAACATTCAAGGCGAGACTGATTCATAATAAACTCCCAAATATAGATAATCTAATCAAGAGGAATGTACTAGAAATGCCTAGCAGCCAGTGTGTATTCTGCCACCGCCAAGAAAAAACCTTAGATCACCTACTAACATGCAAGGAAATACAAGATCTCAAGAAAAACATATGGCACCAAGCCCGAGACAAACTCATAAAAGAATGGATTCCACAATACGCTGACAAAAAGGTGGAGGGAAAGTATGCAGTAATAGATACACTCTTTGGCAAATGGGAAGCAGAGAAAACTGATTCGGCCAAGGAATTAATTAACACATCTATTGGTCTCTGGGCAAAGAAAGACATAGAAGAATGGACCAATGCCTTTCGGTTACTAAAGATCTCCAAAGTTACATCCAGGAAAATCTTTAACAAACTCTCTAGTTTCTGATGTAATAAGATAAGAAAGCTAATTTGGAACCCTAGATGCGAAAAGGTTCATAAACGCAAGAAGAGTTTCCTGGAAAAGGGCAAAGAAAAGGAAACAACCATACTCAAGCACAAGATCACCAGTACACAAAATTCTCGAAAAGGGAAAGGAACACTCCATCAAGATCCGTCAAGTTCAAGAGCAGTGGCAACTCATTCAGAAATAACAATCGGTCAAAGCTATACACCTGGACTCACGAAGGTGTTATGGGATAAAATAAAGGAAGAAAGAAAATGGTTAGGGATATGAAGTAATCAAGATTTTGCCAAGGTGAACTGTAGTAATGAACTGCAGGCAATGAACTCGCGTTTTCTTAGGAACAGAAAACAAGAGGGAGCAACTTTATTCATCTCCAAGATCATATCTAGAGATTAATAGCCTAAGACGGGTATTCAAGTATAAGTAGTTAGTTTATGCATATAAGTCAAACATGTACGAATATGTTTTCTTTTAAAGATTAAATAAACACAATAAATACTTGGTTGATTACGGAAAAAAATAAAAAATAAAAAAATAAAATTAAATAAAATTAAAACAAGTATTATTTTTACAAAATAATATTATTAGAAAACTTGCTAGATTAGATTATAAGTAGAGCTCCTAACAGTATCACTTCAATACCTATTCAATATCAGTTCAATACTTAAATTTACTATAAATTCATATGAGTGGGTTACAATCCATATATTAAATTTACTATAGATTGATACCATTTTGATACCATTTTAGTACCAGTTTGGTACTTTTCAGAATCCTAATTATAAGTTTGAAAATAAAAAAAATTAAAAATTAAAACTAAATAAAAAAGAAACAATTGAAAAAAATATACAAAATAAATAATTATAGAAAACTATACATATTTAAAGAAAAAAATATTAATTAAAGAAATACATAAAATTTAAAAACAATATTAAAGACAAAAATTAAGAAAAATATAAGAAAGTATTCAAAAGTGAAAATTATATAGCAATGTGAAAAATTTGTTACTTAACCCGTGAGGTCCGGCTACGTAACGCGATTTTCGCGTTGCGCGCCTAAGACGTAATTAGCAATTGTATATGAGATAGCGATGTAGGCATAGAAAGTTTTAGGTTACGCAAATTTTTGCCTAGAGGAGCGTCAAACTCGCCGACCCGCCCACCAACCGTACAGTACATCGATTACTCGTTCTCAGGCAAAAAAATACTGTAATAATCACAATCAGGATTACGGTGTTTGGTGCATAATTAAAACTTCACAAAGATCGTCTTTATTAAAAAAAAAATCTGGAGAACCGAAACTGTCGATTCCGTAAACAAATCTTTGTTGAACATGCTTTTTTTTGAATAAATAATTAATTATCGGAAACATTTCTTTAATCTTTCCAGAAATGCTTTAACATTTGTCAAAAATAGGAAACAGTGCATTTCTGCCCTAAAAGAAATTTCCTTTTTTTTCTTTTTTTTTTTTTAAAGGGACTAAGAAGTAGAAAGTTGCGTTTTTATCCAAAAAAAAGGAAAAAACGTGAAAAAAAAACGTGTCCCAATTCCCAATTTTTTTTTTTTTTTTTACAAAATATTTAAATACAATTGCGAAAGCAATCAACAAATACTCGATCCTGGCAAAGAATGTAGCAGAAAAGCCACAAAAAAAAAAAACAAACCAGGAACGAGAAATATAAACCGGATTGCTTTCTTGTTTTTTTTTCTTTTTTTATCTTTGATCGTAATTGGAGGATTTTTTTGGTGAATCAAATGTTTATGCTAAAGAAACCGAATGGTTTCGCGAGATTCTTTGTATATATATATATATATACATTTTTTTTTTGTTTTTTTTTTGTTTTTGTTTAAAAAAAACGAATGACTAAGGTTGATTAATTTCGACGTGAATAAAAGGTTTTGTTTATACAGTTATTCAAGGAAATGAAAAATTACAAATGCAAGATGCATGAGTCAAAGGTGAAAAAAGTAAACAATGGTGGCGCATGATATGACCGAGAAATATGAATATGATTAAGATAATACACTAAGATTTCTTGAAAAATTTTGATCATAAAATGCAAAAGAATATTCACATAATCTTTTTTTACCTCGGTTCTTAAAAAACGAATTCTACGTGTCTCGTCGCATTCATTAAAATATCACCTTCACAATCAAATATCACACCAACTTCAACAGCACTCTTACTTTCTGATCACCTGAAACACCTCGTATTCCATCACCCAAAATTTACTCAAAGTCGTCACCTTATCGCTGTAATCATCTTTGTCGCTACTGCAACTATCATACGCATTAAAGTTATTCCTCATCCACAAATCCTTGTCACCAAAGCACGGACCATACGTCTTATCTTTAATTCTTATCGCATACCCAGGACGTCGAACTCTGCTTAATTTAGCATCATCCAAATTCAATCGTTTTTCGTTACTTTGTTGAACGCTATTCTTATCGCCGTTTCCACTTGCACTATTCTCACTTCCACTGCTGTACCCACTTGAACATCCCGAACTATTACCAGATTTTGAATCGTTATTATTGTTAGAACTGTTGCCACCACTGAATTTCGGAAATGAGAACAAGAAACTATTCTGTGTGTTAATCCGACAATCGCCCGTGGTCCATTCTATGGGATTGTATCCGCCAATCAATTCACCGCTACATGCAATCTGCATCACCGTAATAGTTGCTCCTTGTTTATCGCATTTATCGTGGAATGTTTCGGCATCGAATCCATCACGACTTCCACGTACTAATAATTTGAATTTATAAGGTATTTCATCAAAAGTGTATGGTTCACCATCTTTGCGATCAATCCAATCACACAAACGAGCAACGTGTTCGGTTTTTATTAAGGTGGAATTAAAGGGAACTATCCTAGGTGGTTGCAAATATCGAGAAATGTTTTTCAGGGGACTCGGGATTGAAGTGAGAGTGTTGGAAGAGAGCGAATGGGATTCTGCGTGAGTGATGGCATAATAAGATAAGTTGAGGTGAATGGTATTACGCTTGAGGTAATATTGAAGAACATCCTCTTTCAGATCGTCAGGAAGAATTTTTTGGAATGGCCAGATTTTATCGTAGAAATCATTCGAGGAAATATGGAAGAATCTAATCAATGGAATACAGTTGTGCAATATTCTTTCTAGTTCCAAGAAATCTTCGTTATTCCAAGCGGATAAATCAACATTATTTGTATTTGCCCCACTATTGTCAATAACAAGAGAATTAGTGTCATCACAGAATGGCATCGAACTAATTGAAACAAATGATGACGAAGTGGATGAAGACGAGGAATTCAATCCGGACATCTGAGCCATGCCCCAACGAATCAAGTGTTCCCAAATCACAATCTCCTCAATCTGCAAATCATTTCTACTAAGCAACGTCGTCAATAACGACTCCTCGAATTCCAGAAAATCCTTTGATTCAAATACCAACACGGGATTTTTACATATGGCGTCCAAGCAAAAGTTTTGCAGCCTTTTGCACCCTTCATGCGGATAGATAGTTCGATGCACTTTTACTACGTTGCGTTTGACCCATTCAAATTTTGTGTTTAAAAGATAATCTTGGATGTGATCAAATAATTCTGATAGTAGTAGTTCATCGGAAGCTATAAGTAGATCTAAGATGTCAAAGTTACTCTGACGACTAAGATTAATAGTTCCCGTATACATATACCTATTCGTTATCATTTATGATGTGTTAGTATTTGTCATTATTGATAATCCACATACTTTTTTTTTGTAAGATCATTGGAAAGGAGGCTTTCATACGTTTCCCCAGATGACCAAAAACGGAAGTGAACAAGTACAACCAAAACGTCTCGAGTCCTACGTATTTGCAGAACGCCAAATGTTACCGGAATCATTCTTTAATTGATTAATAAAAAAAAACGAT